TAGCCAATTTCTGATCCAAACCGCTAAATCACCCTCAATCCCATGCCACCATGGCAGATGGTGGAATTTGAATTCAACAAAATATCTGGAATTAAGAATCTAATGATGACCGTGAACCAACTGTCGGAAAAACTCATCTGGTTCACTAACATCCTTTAGGGAAGGAAATTGCCATTGTTACCTGGTCTGGCCTACATGTGACTCCAGACCCACAGCAATGTGAATGACTCTTAACTGCCCTCTGGGCAATTAGGGATGGGCACTAAATGCTGCCTGGTCAGCGGCGCCCTCATCCTGTGAATAAATAAAAAAAATCTGAATGGTTAACTGAAGAATCTGAACATTGTGCTTAAATGTTTCTCCAAGGCGGGTGTACACCTTCGAAGGGAAAAACATGTTTCAGGCACTCCAAGTGACCTACTTGGGCTATAGAGTCAACAAGACCAGTTACACCTGTTGGAAGACAATGTAAAGGTGGTCAAAGGTGTCCCAGCTCCCAGGTCTGTACTGGAGCTTAGGTCTTTCCATGGATTGGTGAATTATTACGGAAAGTTCATACATCAGCTGGTCTCCATCCTGGCACCCTTACATTTGCTATTGAAAAACGGTCAGCCTTGAAAATGTTCTCGTAGCCAAGATATAGCCTTTAGGGAAGTGGAGAAGCAGCTATCATTGTCTAAGGTGTTGGCACACTATGATCCCAAGTGAGATACGGTGCTGACATGCGACGCCTCCCCATATGGTAGTGGGGTAGGGTTTTTTCACAGATGACCCAATGGAGAGGAATGCCCAGTAGTGTATGCTTCCCAGACTTTGGTTGACGCCAAAGCGCACAAATATGCCAAGATAGAGAAGAAAGGTTTGACGGTCATCTTTGGTGTGAGAAAGCTCCACAACTGCTTTTACAGATGTAAATTTGTAATGGTAACAGACCGCAAACCTCTGCTAAGGCTACTCCAAAAGGTCAAGGCTGTGCCACCCATTCATCAAACATTGGATGACGATAGAAAGTCTGTGCGTATCTTTTGCAATACTTGGGTTCCCAGGCATGTTGGTCACTGACAATGGGCCATCATTTACCAGCAGAGAATTCAAATATTTCATAAAGTTAAATGGTATTTGGCATACAAGGACAGCTCCCCATCATTCATCATCCAATGGTCTGGCAGAAAGGGCAGTCCAAACTTTGAAGGCAGGCTTAGGGAGGAAGCCTACAGCTTCACTAGGTACCAAACTGTCCCAGTTCCTATTTGATAATCGGACCACTCCTCATGCGACTACAGGGATAACTGCAGCAGAGTTACTGATGGGGAGAAGACTTTGCACCATGTTAAACCTGATCTTCCTGGACCTGGGTGGCGGGGTGGGGGGGAGGGTGAAACGGTGTCAGGAATGCTAATGCTGGACACAAAATTCCTCAAAGCGAGAGAGACAGTTTACTTCAGGGGGCAAAGTTTGGAGTAGGAACCACAGGAATGGCCCTGCATGGGTAAGAGGCCTGGCCGACACAAGTTCAGGTCCTGTGACACACAATGTTCAGGGAGGTGAGGTGGTCCTGAACAAGCACATGGACCACATGAAAGCTACAAACTCACAAACAGGACAGGGGCAAAATATACCCAGCCCCTCAGCGCAGCTGGAAAGACTGTTTGGACCCATGGGTTCTACCACTCCATCTAGCATTGAAGAAACCCTCAGAGCCTGAGATGAACATGGTGGATGTCACAGCCTCGACACCTTTACTGTCTGAAGAAGAGGATGAAGTTCTTCCGAGCCAGGTGGAACAAGATGATACCAAGTTGGGTGGGAGGGTGAAGTGTGATGAGGATGCAGAGATCCTTCAGCATGGTCGCGACAGGTTGGGTGATTGGGCAAATCAATAGCAGATGCAGTATAATGTGGATAAATGTGAGGTTATTCACTTCGGAAGCATAAACAATTTGGCAGATTACTCCATTTTTTGCAGCAGCAGCAGGAGCGGTGAGAGCGAGGACCAGGGGCCTGCTCGGAGGTAAGTTCTTTATTTCAGCAGTGGAGCTGAGTGGGAGCGGTCCAATTGTGCTCTGGGAAGGTGATGAACTGATATATTTGGGCAGTGGCTAAACCTGAGACACTACACGTGTAGTGTGTCCCAGCCACCCTCCTCCTCTGACCAAAAAAAAAGACTCTGGTGTGTTGATAAGGTAAGTGTTTTTCTTTTTGTTTTTTTAATCATGTGCTGGTAAGTAGAGAGATTTGGTACAAATTTTTTTTCATTTCATTTATCTATTGTTTGATATTATAGTAGGACGAAGCTAAGCTTAAGAGTAAAAATGGCAGGAGATCCCAGACCTGTGTTATGCTCCTCTTGCTCAATGTGGGAGCTCAGGGACGCGGTTGATGTCCCTGACTCCTACACGTGCAGGAAGTGTGTCCAGCTGCAGCTCTCGTTAGACCGCATGACGGCTCTGGAGCTGCGGATGGACTCACTTTGGAGCATCCGCGACGCTGAGGAAGTCATGGATAGCATGTTCAGCAAATTGGTCACACCGCAGATTAGGATTGCTGAGGGAGAGAGGGAATGGGTGACCAAAAGGCAGAAAAAAAGCAGGAAGGCAGTGCAGGTGTCCCCTGTGGTCATCTCCCTCCAAAACAGGTATACCGTTTTGGATACTGTTGGGGGAGATGGCTCACCAGGGGAAGGCAGCAGTAGCCAGGTTCATGGCACTGTGGCTGGCTCTGCTGTACGGAAGGGCGGGAAAAAGAGTGGAAGGGCTATAGTCATAGTGGATTCAATTGTAAGGGGAGTAGACAGGCGGTTCTGTGGTCGAAAACGAGACTCCCGAATGGTATGTTGCCTCCCAGGTGCACAGGTCAGGGATGTCTCAGATCGACTGCAGGACACTCTGAAGGGGGAGGGTGAACAGCCAGCTGTCATGGTGCATATAGGCACCAATGATATAGGTAAGAAACGGGATGAGGTCCTACAAGCAGAACTTAGGGAGTTAGGAGTCAAGTTAAAAAGTAGGACCTCAGAGGTAGTAATCTCAGGATTGTTACCAGTGCTACGTGCTAGTCAGAGTAGAAATGAAAGAATAGGCAGGATAAATGAGTGGCTTGAGAGATGGTGCAGGAGGGAGGGGTTCAGATTTTTGGGACAGTGGGACCAGTTCTGGGGGAGGTGGGACTATTACAAATCAGACGGTCTACACCTGGGCAGGACTGGAACCAATGTCCTAGGGGGTGCTTTTGCTAACACTGTTGGGGAGGGTTTAAACTAATGTGGCAGGGGGATGGGAACCAAATGAGGAGGTGAGTGGACAGTAAGGAGAGAGTAACTAAAGCCTGTAAGGAACGAGATAATGAAGTCAGTGTGACTAAGGGGAAGAGGAGGCAGAGAGCAGATGATGAATGCAAAGGGATAGGTGGTCTGAGGTGCATTTGTTCCAATGTGACAAGTTAGTAGGTAAGGCAGATGAAATTAGGGCTTGGATTAGTACCTGGGAGTATGATGTTATTGCTATTACTGAGACTTGGTTGAGAGAAGGGCAAGATTGGCAACTAAACATCCCAGAATATAGATGCTTCAGGCAGGATAGAGAGGGAGGTAAAAGGGGTGGAGGAGTTGTATTACTGGTCAAAGAGGATATCACAGTTGTGCTGAAGGAGGGCACGATGGAGGACTTGAGCAGTGAGGCAATATGGGCAGAGCTCAGAAATAGGAAAGGTGCAGTAACAATGTTGGGGCTGTACTACAGGCCTCCCAACAGCGAGCGTGAGATAGAGATACAAATATGTAGACAGATTATGGAAAGATGTAGGAGCAACAGGGTGATGGTGATGGGAGATTTTAATTTTCCCAACATTGACTGGGATTCACTTGGTGTTAGGGGTTTAGATGGAGCAGAATTTGTAAGGAGCATCCAGGCGGGTTTTCTAGAGCAGTATGTAAATAGTCCAACTCGGGAAGGGGCCATACTGGACCTGGTGTTGGGGAATGAGCCCGGCCAGGTGGTTGAAGTTTCAGTA